ACCGACTTTTGCTTTTGTAAGAATTTTGAGTGACAAGTTAATCTTCTGTAATCTTGTAGGGGGACAATAGCGACTTCTGCGACACACAAAAGGCATTCTCGGGAAGAGGGGAGTTCCTCCTGCCCCTCTTCTCTCGTCGTGGCCGGAGACGAGACAACCTCCGTCACTAGCTGTCAAGGTTCCTAGACGGGCATTACAAGCGAGGCGTTAGCGACATCCACCAGGTGCTCTTTGCTAATCGTTTAATTTGTTTTAAAATTCCTTTTCGTGACTTTTTTAACAAGATATTGGTATGTTCGATGTGATGCTGCTTTTTTGAACACATACAGACCAAAAAATGAGCGCTGAAATTTCGTTGTAGTATCCCTTTAAAATCCCCTCCTGCAATTAAAAGTTTTCCAGTTTCGGCCACAAATGCAAAAAATTGATCGTAGAATTCCAAAAAATTTTAAAACATATCCGTTTGGTGGTCGATAGCAAACAGAAAAGACTGTCTGGCCCGAACACAGCGAAATCACTTCATAATCACCCAAGCAGCACGGAGTTTGGCCAAGCAATGGCCAATGTCTGGCGATGGTCTTTTGGCCAGTGGCCAGAGAGTGGCCATTCATTGGCCATTGCTTGGCCGATGGCTGATGGCCACTAGCCATTGGCCAATGGCCAGATAAAGGCCAGTCACCGGCCAGTCTCTGGCCACTGTCCGGCCACTTGGCCAAGGACCATTGCCAGCCATTGGCCGATGACTGGCCAACTCTGTGTTGCTTGGGCAGGAGTAATTGCACTGTAACAATCAAGCAACGTGCACTCAGTACTATTGTAAAGTAGCAACGCAACCCCGCCACCTCGGCTGCTGGTTCTGCTTAAATAATAGGTTCTATAATTCGGCAATCTAAAAACATCAAAGTGTGCTCCAAGTCTCGGTTAGCATAAGAACGGAAAATTGAAACGAAAATTCAGTAAAAAAACTCTTCTAAACACAAAAATTTGTTTCTTACCGACCTAGTGTTTAAATGTATACATTTCAATGAAAGGGGTGAAAATCGAGGTACAAGCCCATTCACATCATTCGCCAAATAATAACGGTGTTGGTTCATTTATAAGTTTCCCTCAAACGTCAGTACAATTTATGCATTTAATCTGATCAAGGTCATTGTTGGTTCTTATGCGAATAGCACGTGCTCCTTCAGTTTTCCGAACTAAAATTTTTCCATTTGTGCACCATGTGAAGGCATAGCTTTTTTCCTTAGCCCGATCTTTCGCCGCCCGAAGAAGCTCTCTATTGTAGCGTGTTAAGTTTTCCTGAATGAAAATCCGCTGGGAACTGTTCTTAAGTTTGTTCTTGCGCTTCAGCCGCGCGTCCCTGCTCTGTTGTTTCATAAAATTACACCTTGCGGTACACTGTTGCGTCACAGGGCACTGGCGGGAACTTTGAATTGGGCCTCGTATTTCTATTTTTTATTTAAAAAAAACTATGTTCCTCTATAGTGAAACAATTTTTTTTGTAATGTCCTGACATGCCATTTCAACGCCTAGCATGAAAAATATATATATATATATTTTTTTTTTTTGCGTGTCAGAGGCCCTTTAACTGAGTTGTTCTAGAAACGTTGGTTTAGAGCAATGACGTCACACTTACCGGGTCAATCCACACCTGACCGTTTCGATTTCAGTGAGTACCGTGCACTGGCGTGCGGCCGCATGTGATCCCTACTGCGTAATGCACGCTAAAGGCCCCAGGCTGGGGCTCATACCGCACTAGCTAAATCCCTCATCCACGGCGGAGACACGAGAAGCCCACTGGGGGTCTCAAAATTTTCGCTATCTTTTATATTCACATGTTACAAAAAAAAAAAAAAACACCTATGGCATTTGAACGATTATTGACGCTCAGGATTCTGCACCCACAGTGTAAACACGGGCGCTAGCAAGGTACTAATGTGTCCTTAGCTTTATCTTCCTCCTTCCATTTCCCCATCCCCTTCCTCAATACTGAGTAGCAAAACGAGGTAGGTCAGTCTGCCGCTCTTATCTTCTGGGAGGAAAAATATACCGGAGTTCAGTTCCATGAGCCTTGACTCGAGTTAATGATGTCGTTTGTCGAAGGGTTGTTTGCTTCCCCAATTCTATGCGTAACGAATAAGGGTTGCATTGCATAACTGATGTTTCACTTTAGCTCATCGCCAGGCCTTTATTTATTTATTTTAAATTTATCTCGGGCGCATAAAGATAAAAATAATTGTTAAAAGTCAGCCCAACTTATGGCCAAAATCCTCTGGCAGATCTGGATAGGCTTCTACATTCCGCGAAGGAGGAGAAAGCCCGTTGCGTGGGAACGACATCAAATCGAGCACTGCGGAAGCGTACCGACGGTCGCAGCAATGCTCGACTATCAGACGATCTACCCACACCAGCAACAAGATGGCGACGTCCAGAGGCCCGTCGCTGCGGTCGCCGCGCCCTGATTGGGTGAGGTGTACCGTGACGTCAGGGCGATGACTCCGCTCCACGATCTCGCATCGGCTCGCTTCCCAGCACCGGTTTCCTGGTTTGGCGTTGTTTGCCGCAAGCTCTTCGAGGAGCTGGACTTCGTTTACCCGGTGTACAAGACGTTGAGTTAGGCCAATATTAACGTGCTTCCGTACATTTTATAAGCCTGCTCGTCCCTTTTACCTTTCAACTTGGGTTACAAATCCCGAAAGCTATCGGCGGAGGCGATTCCGCCGATGTACCTCCCCGGCCGTCCACACGACACAAGGCAATTTTGCGACGGATCGGTGAAGCGGTGGTGCAAGTGTTTCAGACGCTGGAATTCTGTTCCTTGCATGTTCATGATTTAGGACGATATTACATCCCGATTTAAAGGCATTTGAAGTGGCATTTATATCATGGGCCTTTGGGTGGTCGGCAAATTAGCTCGCAACCCCGACTTTGCGCTGCCACTTTGCATGCGCTGGTTCGCAGATGTTTTAAAGGCCCCGTGTCTGATTATCTTGGAAGTGCTCGTGGAACAGGGTTGTTTTACATAAATGTAGCTTCTTCGTGAATTAATTATATAGTTTATACAGGTATATTTCTTAGAAGATGCACAATTATTGGAAATTAGTGGTAGCAGCAAAGACGGCCGAATTGCCTCCAGTTGCCTGTATGGTATGTATTGAACTGCCCAAAATATGCACAGCAATAGTGCCGTAATTTGGAATGTTTATTCTTTTTCCTGGCATTTTTATTCCAGCCTTGGGTATTCGGAAAATAGACCGTTTAGTCTGAATTGTCATTTCTAATCAAAAGAGACACTGCTGCAGGTCCCCAAAAGCTTCCTCAGCCTCCAAACTCCCTACAGCTGGACTCTCTGACAAGAGATGAAAACAGGATTAAAAGCAAGCATTCGAACGTCTGTCCAGTGGTAGATGCAGCACTAGTAGCAGAAAATGTGGAAAATGTGAAGGGCGACAGTCTGCGTGAGAAAAGCGTCTGGTATTTTAGTTTCAGGACAATTCGATTTAAGTAAAATTTCAATTTTAGGGCTTAAGGGATAAAAAACGAGCTAGACACCTTCGCTTACGTTTGTTATACATTACTTGGGGGTTGATATAAACAAGTCCACAGATACCACCCGTGTAGTTCATTGAAATACTATCCGAATCCAGCAAAGGTCAAATGCGAGCAATATATATAATAAATGTTCCTTGTTTTTTTTTTTTTACTTTGCCCCTGCACTTGGGCTGTCTTACGTGTGATTCTCTCCCCATGGCCCAGACTGTGTTTAGCATGTTCCTCGAGCAGCAGGCAGCTTTTCTGCTTCGGCGATCTTGTTTAAAAACAGAGATACAAAAAAATAGTATACTTAACCTGCCAATTCATTCAGGACATCAGCAGCATTTATTGTGCGAGATGTAAATCTATAGTGATGCTCCTGCAATTGTGGCCGTATTTCTTTATTTTCATATACCAGCTGCGATTCATCAGTTGCTTGCCCTTTCAACCACGCTTAAAATGTTGGTTGAAGTTTAGCCTGTAGCTACAGGCCATACCTCAATAAAGGCACATATAAAAATTTACACTTCCTACGAAAAACACGCCAAAAAATAATTAAATAGAAACGAGCGCGCCGACACCTAGTGTCGTCACAACCTCCACAGGGCGAGCGGGCCGAGTCGGGGAAAAATTCTCTCCTCGCCGTGACGTCACCCCGGTTTGCCGTAAGGGGGCGCCACGCGAACTTCTCGGCGCTAATAGATGCGCTCGCTGTTTTGGAGCGGCGCAGACCAACTCAACCCTCTGACGTCACGTAACTGTGGTGTGCGCTGCTGTCGTCAGTGCGCATGCGCAGATGCTTACCTCGGGCGAATCTGGTTTCTGCGCAAGCGCGATGCCCACACCTGGTGTCGGTAGACGCGAGCGTGCTCGTAAACAGCGCGTTGGCCTGTATAGGCCGTGGTCACACTGCAAATACATCGTACAAAAGACAGCCAACTGTCTGCAGACCTGTTCGGAGCACACATTTGTACGAAACTAAGGATCGATCATGCTTGGGGCGTGTCCGTACATACTTTTATCATCACGACTGGCGCTAACACCGTGTCTTTTGTGTTAGAGTCACTATATGAGCTACGCTTAGAGTATCGGCACTCTGTTCCCCAATGTTGTTGTTGTGGGCACCGCCATTTTGGTGCTTGTGCAGAGAAGACGTTACTGCCGATCATCATGATTCAAATTCTTCGGCATTAGATTCTGTGTTAGAAAGCTCATGCAATAATGCTGTGCTCTATCGCGAACGGTTTAAACATTTGTGGACAACGGAAAAGCGCTTCCTGAGATTTCAGATAAAGCATGAGATAACTGGCAACCGTGATATTAAGCCACAAGATGGGTAAGTGTCATTACTCTAAAGCGTTGCTTATTTAGTGGCACTATTTACTATTTAGTATGATAAACGGGCATTGTGACGTTGGCTTAAATGATAGGGTTAGCATCCAATCACGTGTTGTCCGCAGGCCATGGACCATCGAGGATGGTATCTGCTCGTCGAAGCCGCCTGGATCACTCTGACCTTGGGAGGTTCAACGGCACTCTCCGATGCCGATGAGCCGTGCGGTATCGCTCTTGAGCGGTCTCGGAGGGCAGAAATGACCCCGGAGGAACGCTTGCAAAGCTGTTTCGGACAAAACGGCTTCAAACATGTAAACTGCGTGTTCCACGGTGGCTCCGTTAGCTGTAAGTATTCCGGTCTCACGTTTGCAAAAAAAAAAAAAAAAACTAGTACGTTTACATGCTCGTTTATTAACTAGCGCGTTTAAACAATAAGCATATTACGTATAAACCTATTGTCCCAACAGCAAATCATTTAGCGCGTGATCTGTTAAAACAAAATGCCGAAGTCGTGTCGTTTCTTGCGATCTCTTAGGACCAGCTCCGCTGCATCACATCCGGTCCTAAGAAGTCGCAAGAGGATTAAAAACCGGTCTTGTCTCTCTCGGTCGTACTCGGTAGCAAGAGTGTGAACGAGCCTTCAAGCGCCGTTCCCACTCTTGCGACCGAGTAAGACCGAGAGAGACCAGACCGGTTTTTAAGCCTCTTGCGACTTCTTAGGACCGGATGTGATGCAGCGGAGCTGGTCCTAAGAGATCGCAAGAGGCTTAAAAACCGGTCTGGTCTCTCTCGGTCTTACCCGGTCGCAAGAGTGTGAACGGGCCTTTAAAGTCCCTTGATACTTCTTGTACAAGTAACGACAACCAGTACAAATGACAAAGCACACTCCCCGGGAAGAAAATGGCGTCATACAGTTCAGTCTTCTGCATAGCCGTATATATGTAGAGAGTTTTGCCATTCATTGGGAAGTATAGCAGACAAATGAGAAGGCGCCATTGGTTGAAAGCGGGTCCGGTATGAACTGCGCATGCGCTGCCACAGGAGACTCAGATGTGCGCAGTTCGTACCGGAGAGCCCTACGTACCGTATCGGACGTGCAAAAACGGTTCCCTAAAACTCCCTATTGTCCTCGTGTCTGCAAGACACGATTGTATGAGCAGCGTGCCTTAAAGGAAAGATGGGGCAGTTCTGCATTTGGAGACTTGTATTGCATTCATTTGGCCTTTAGAATAACATATATCGCAATTATATTTCAATGCAACGCGCCGGAGAGCCATCAGGGCAATTTCAAAATAGGGCTGAAGCCCCGCCTCCCTAGCCTTGGGCAGCCAAAAAAAATCCGTCGATGACGTCACGTAGAGCGACAGTCTTTCGAGTTTTCTTGTGTTTTTAACAGTACTTGCGCAGCAGATGGTTTGGGTATTCGGGTTCTCGGGGTAAAAATACATCAGAACTCACTTCTAACTCCTTCTTTTCAAGAACCTCCGTAGATTCCCTTTAAAGACGGGGTCAAACTGCCTATACCCATCATACAAAAGACAGTTTGCATACAGATTCGAACGCGAGCCAACGCGAGAACCGTGCTCCGAATGCCGAGGTGGCAATGAGTTCAAGGAGAAAACTTGGCATGCGGCATTCAAGTTTCAAGTTTCAAGTTTCAAGTTTCTTTATTCCTCTTCAAACAAACCACGGATACTTAGGTGACTCGTGTTTTTGCAGACTGTCCTTTGTGTGATGTATGAACAGTGAGACCCTCGGATTTAGATTGAAACGGATTATGGATACGCCACTCTCATCCGCGAGCGCCTGACTTGCGTATACACCTTTTCCGTCTAACCTCGACCCAGCGCGTAACGTGCGTAGCCTCGACTCGGCGACTCGGCGCACAGCGGGAATAGTTCTTCCGGTTCTAACACTTCCGGTATGCGGGAGCAGGCCTAGCCAGCTGGCAAGATGCTGAAGTGGTGCGCGTTAAATGGGTTTTGAAGTCCTTGACAGCAAAGTGAGTTGTAATAACGTGGGTTATACGTCGATGTATCATGTCCGCGCATATTTGGTCATCGGGCTGCCACTGCGCAGTCGTTGGCTGCAGCAGCAATTTCCGAAAACGGAAGATAGCGCGCGACGAATTGTGCACCGAACACAAGAAGCCGCAAAGCGAATGCGGCTGTAACGTATACATTTTGCATCGCTTCCCCGCTGATATCAGCGGGGAAGCTCTGCAATATCAGCACATAAAAAAAAAGCAAATAGGCAGTATAGAAACGGACATCTACAAGTGCAGTAACAGGCCTCGATAAGACAAATGCAGAACGAATTTTGCAGCTTGTGGTGCAAATGTAAGACCCTGGGTGTAATGATTGTTATTGTCTACTCATGTTTTGCTTTTCATTCCGTTCATTCCTACGAGGATGTGCACTATAATTTTGTGTGTTGCTCGGTAGCGACGCCCGTTAAAGTACGTTAATGGAAACAATACAAAAAGAGGGCGCAAAATCGTCGTCGTCCTCCCCCCCCCCCCCCTTTCACCCCCATCTCCTGAATAGTTCCGAAGCATCTGGGCGTCATACGAAGTAGAGATGTCCCGGTACTAGCGATCGTACCTCGACGGTGCACCATAACAATAAACCGTTCGGCCCGCGTCGCCAACTCCCATTGTGAGTATTTCTACGATTAAACGATGATACTTCTATGCCCAGGGTCGCCCTCGCTCGCGCATAGAAACCCTCCGTTAGTCATTCGCAGAAGGCAGTCATTCTTCACAAACAACAACACGCGAAGAGTAAACACTGGTAAACGTCCTCAGGAAAAGTGAACATGCCTCCGATTTCGATTACCGGCGACGCTGGCGACGAACCTCTCGGTGCTGCTGGCGCAACAACGGGCGCCATGAGGGCGAATAAACACGCCAGAACACAAGAGTAATTCACACTTTCAATAACAAACAAATTAAGAACTCACTAAAAGGAAAACAATGAAGATACGATGCACGGGGTCAATGGGGACAACGCGGGAGCTAGGAACAACGCTGCTCTCCGCATACCAAAATGGGCGCACAACAACCGTACGCCAGACGCCAGACGGCGCGGCTGTCGCTGCAACACGCAAGATGGCGACGACTACGCGGAAAAGGTGTATATGGCTGAATCGGGTCTCCGTGCCCAGGTCGCTCGCTCGGCTACAACCCAGAATTGGCAGAAGCCATCGCCACGGGGGGGGTGGCGGCCGGCCTCATCTGCGTCGCCGTCTTCGCCGTCGTCGCATGGTGGTGCAAAAGACGAAAGGTGGGTACATAGAGACCTTCAGCTAGAGTGCCTGCAGCGTCTTTGACTGGGTTAGCTTCCAGTGGCCACGAGGTGGCAACAAAATGACGTCACAAAGGTAGGCGTTTTAGGTTGTTGGATGTGGCGATCCTGGTAACCAACGCTATAAGTCCCGCAAAAAAAAAAAAAAATGCGAGCAAGTGCTAGTGTTTTTGTTGTCGCAAGGTCCCAACCACTAGCTGCTGAAGCTTCAAAGGAGTGTCAAGCTGAAGAACGACCTGCAGCAGAACAGGCGTCTGCCGCATACATCTCCGCTGCTGGGAGACCACACCAGGACCGCAGCCCGCAACTTGACATTTTTATTACCTCATCAGACAGAAATCGTAGGACTAGCTTTTAGGACGAGGTAAACACACCAGTCGGAAACGCATTCCAGGCACCGCATACCATCACCCGAAGTCTTCGGCATCGTGTGTGGTGCAGAACATGAGCTCGCGATTATTGTAGACCATTCCATTTAAAGCTTTTAGGGCGGCGCCAATTTGTTCGACCGCAGCGCCCTTTCCAAACATCCGGGAAGTTCAGCAGGTTCGGCGGTTCGGCGGGGTAAAACGAGAGAGAGAGGGCACGCGCCCGATTCTGCTAGCAGACAACAAGCCGGGAGGTTGCCGTTCTCCATCTTTGGGCTGTACCGGCGGGCTGTACCGAACATCTAACTTTTGCTCGTGGCTGCCGTTGTGAAGTGGTTCGCGTTCTGAGAATATTTTTCGGCTACTCCAAAATCAACCTTTAGCGTCCTGTTGTTTTATTTCAGTAAATGATCAAATAGCGTATCTTTGTTCCGTTACATCAGTAACAGGGAAGTCAGCCGGCAGTACTACTGTCCACTACTGCGTGTATTGCCTCAGGAGAGCACGTTTTTTATTTACCGTATCTACTCGATTCTAAGCACCCCTTTTTTTTTCACACCCGCGATGTTCAAAGAGGGGGGTGCTTAGATTCGGAACATACCCCGAAAATACGAAATTTGCACTAGAAATATGAATTTATTATAATCAAAATGAAAGAATAAACGTTCTAAAGGAAATAAATAAAGTAAAGACTGGAGAGTAGCCCGCTTGCCATCAGTTTGCACCACGGTCGACTAGTCGCTCTCGCGACTAGTCTTTTGAGGATGATGTAGGGCGCAAGTTTCCGACCGTCGGCTGTGATGCACAGCATTACGGTCATCACCCTTTGCTTCTCATAGCCAGTCGTACGCACTTTTACTTCTCGGGCGCCTACTTCGTTTACGGGGCACGCTCTTGGCATGTCGATGTACACAGGGGTCTCATCGGCATTGCCGATCTGCCCGAGTCCGTAGCGAGATTCGCGACGCAGCTTCATCACATGACGTTGGAAGGTGACAGGCTTGTCCTCGAAGTCCACCGGTAGCTTCTGGCAGATAGTGGTGCGGCGTCTCAAAGAGAAACCGTTCCCCTTCGTCATCCGCTCCACCCAGCCTCGGCTTGCGCGGAACGCCGCACTCGGAGCTGTTCAGCATCGCCGTGATTTCCGTTTTCTTCCCCGTAAGAAATAACCGTTCTCTTCAACTTTATCGTGTATGAAGTTCTCTTCGCACTCATGATGGACGACTTCCGCAAACCACGTGCACACAGTGAACGGAATGCGATCGCGAGGCCAACGCGGACGAATAGGCTTAACAGACTAAACAACCGACTGCAACAAGCGCAAGGTATGCGCAAGGAGACCAAACAGACAAAACATCTTCGATAGAGGGTACGGCAACGCACTACCTTTCGCAACCTGCACGGATGCGAAAGTGGTAAATGGCGGTATGTGCTGCCATCTGTTAACTGACGTTGAAACCAAGCGCCAGCGGCCGTTCGCGACTCCTCCGATCTCAAATTTCTTGTTGGGAGGGGGGTGCTTACATTCGCATGCAAACATTTTTTGATGCGTTTATGCTTGAAAGTGTAAGGGGGGGGGGGGGGGGGGGGATGCTTAGAATCGCGAAAATACGGTAATATTCCAGACTTTTACTCATTGTCGCTAAAGGCCTACACCATACGAATTGTGTATAGTAAAAAAAAAAAAAAAAACTACAGCAATCAGATTTACTTTGCGCCGGAGAGACCGGCCACTCAGACATAGTTTTCCTATTTATTTCCTTTATTTGCACGCAGGTAACAGCGCGTTTGAATCCAGTTAGTTTTTCTTTATGTTGCCTAACATTACACGAAAACTTGCATATAAAAATTCGCGCATCTGCGCTTAAAATTAAAAAAAAAAATTATGCGATTTTAAACCAAGTTTGGACACCGGCCGGATGTTAGGTACAGCCCATTCGGCGGAGCAGACGACTTACGGGGTGAGAGGGGAAGGGCATCTCCACTCTTCCTAGTGGAACCACGTCACCCGCTCCTACGGGGAGCACTGTCCCTTGATGAGGCCGATGTAATTTCGAGTGGTCCAATTAGATGGTGCCATAACTCAGCTGTTTGTACATTGTAATGTCCTGCACATTGTTGCTCATTTGTACATGTCCTATACATTGTTGTACATTCTGCATGTTCTGCACATTGTGTGGGATTTGTTAACTTTACCCCCTGATCCTCATTGAGGTAAATACCCACCCCGTAGTCCGCTCTTTGGGTGGCTACGGCCGGGTCCGTCCATTGACTGCCTTTTTGGGCAGCGGTGGACGAAAGACAACACCAACACAGTGAGTCCGCTTTCCACGTGTTTATTGACTTAAATGCCAACACGCTTTGCTCTGGGACAGGATAAGTCTGGGCGCTGGCTCAATTGCCAGTATCACCCGGTCGGTTTCCGCGCTGCCGCAATAGACAGATTCACGGAAAGTCGGAGGCCCACAAAGAAAAACCGAGCCCCGTAGCGCCAGGGCCTCCGCTGACGAGAGCCCCAGGCCCAGTCGGTCAGAGTGTCAAGAGCAAGGAAATCAAAGGAAGTTTTGCTGAGCCAGTGGCTCGTCCTCGAGAGAGAGAGAGAGGGAGAAGTCTTGCAAAAGAGGAAAAACCAAAGTTTGAGTTACAGCCATAGGCCGAACGGTCATCGAGGCTCGCCCTCCTTCGGGGCCGGCTTAGTAGCTTAGGAGATATGGACGCGCTCGGAGAGGCCGCTAGCAGTCGCGTCCATTATCGCGTTCAAGGGTGCACCGGCGGCACATTCTCTCCTACGTGGGCAAGGGAGAACCGGCCCCTTTGGGGAATTCGGCCTCGGTTCCTTGTATTCGGGAGGCCGCCACCATTGGTGACGACGACTCCCACGGCCTGCTTGAAGCTAGGCCTAGTTAGGGATATAGGGAACCCCATGGTTCCCAGAATTGTTAGAGCTTTACATTGTTAGAACTGATTGGTGGCGAAGGACAAAAGCAAAATGAACAGAACGGACAAGGGGAAAGTGAAAGAAATAAGTGTTTTTTTTTTGTTTATAATTCTTTTTTTGGAGGTACGAATATGGTTCGGAACCGCCCGATTCAAAGAGAACAGCTACATCATTGCACTCGCAAAACACATTTACACGGCGTCGATTTTTGAACGGCATCAAGCTTGCGAAGGCACAGAGACACAGCACTTTGGCGTGCCGAGAAAGCTTTGAACACGCCGCCAGACAGGCGAAACTTGCTTTCGACGAGTTGTGCCTTTTTTCCTGTGACACTGCGCTTTCGTAAAAATTTTCACGTGTTCTCAACGGCAAGTATCACGACGAACAAGTAGAAAACGTGTCTATAGCACGCTGGAAAACTGCAGCAAAACGCTAGCAAAACGAAAAAATTTACCATGCAAGATGGCAGTCTGGTGGCCGCACTACCGCTGCAGAGAACAAGCGGGGATATGATCCACTCATTGAGATCAGTGGAAGTAACGCGGTGGCGGCCACATTTAAACCGCTTACGTTGCCAGAGTAGGTTTTACAGCGAAGAGGTTGGTACCATAAACGGCAAACTAAGTGTTACGTCTTTTTTTTTTTTTTAAGAAAATGTATTGTTGTGTTACATAAGTCCTCCTGCATACAAACAACAAAGTTTAAATATATTTTTCTTGTTCACTTTCTTCGACACCCTAAAAACGGGCTTTTGACAACTTATTGCTTCCATCATTCCTGAGTACGCAAGGCAGTTTTCTCGCGGTTCTGGTTTCGGTTACAAAAGCAAGGCAAAACACTCGTAATTCCCGTCCTGAGTACACGTTGGACATCTTCCACACATTGACACCGGATAACTGGATGAATGAGGATTCACATTTACTTCAAGGGTCACACTTGCCGCTTCCCCACCGTCGAGCAGCCGGATCAGCCGCATCGACACCCCCCTCCCCCGCTCTCGCGTGGCCCACCGCGACCCCCCCCCCCCCCCCCCCCTCCTTTCCGCTCTCGCGTGGCCTAGAGGGTAAGCAGAGTTGCGCATTTGTTTTCCCCGCGCCGCCACGCCGCTATTCGCCGAGATCCATCACGTGAGGAGCAAAGCATCCGGCGCCGTGTAAGAAAGCCACCTTTACGGTCGCTCCGCCGACGTTTCTCGCGCCCCGGCGTATGTTCCCCTGCTTTCCGCCTCCTTTTCCTCCTCTCCTGTTTTCCATGCGCGGCGCCGCTATTCGCCAAATTTAGTCACGTGAGGAGCAAAGCATCCAGGGCGTGCGGGGAAGCCGGCGCTACGGCCACCCGCCGAGGCTGAATGCGCAACTCTGCTACCGTAGGTAGTATATACAGGAACTCTCGCGTGGCCCGCCGCGACTCTTCCCCCTCGCTCTCGTGGCACGCCGCGACACCCGCCTGAGCCCTGCACCCGGGGCGGTCCGCCCCCCACCCCCTCCCCTTGTGACGCCACTTAGCCCAAGTGCACTCGGTGTAGGGTGACCAGACGTCCCGTTTTGGCCAGTACAGTCCCGTTTCTGAGGTCCGCTTCTGCCGTCCGGTCTTTTTGTCCCAATAAAGTCGCTGGGTCCCCATAAACTTTTCGATTTTGTCCCAATAAACTCGCTGGGACCGCTTTCTGTCGC